ATATTCATTTTCTTATACAGTGTTCCCTCGCACGTCACGGGTTGATGATGGCATCTTCACTCTGTCACGTTTTTTTTTCTTTTATTTCTAACCAGTCCAAAAATGTCATATTTAGATTTTGAAGGGGAATTTGTTTTACAAAAACGTAGACTACAAATACAGTATACGTACACTCAAAACGCACTGCTTTACCCAGACCCTTCGGAAACTCAGAATGCTGTTCAAATGTTCACCGCCCCAAAAAATGGAGTATGAGGGTCCAGTGTGTCAGGCGGTATGAGCAAAGTAAATTTGAAGCACGTGCGACTGATTATCGGCTGTGTTCAGAAATTAATGTGAGCAGAGCACGATCTGTCTCCCTTGCAACACACGACATAAGTTTTTCTTTTTACTTTAAAATGGCTTCCCATAATCAGAATCCTACATCACAGTGAAGCCAAAGGTACATCCTGGTGCCGTAGTGTAACTCTTTGGTGCAGTAAATGCTTGTTGTGGAAGCGGGAGGTGCGGAACAAATCCCATTTCTGCTTGGCTCTCGACGAAGGCGGACGCTTTTTGCTCAGCCCTTGTCCTCCCCCCCACCCTCTCCTTGCTCGCCACTCAGTCTACGTGCTGTCTTTGTCTAACTTTTCCAAGCCTCCTATCGTATTTTCATCCAAAGAACAAACCATGGAATTGGTTGGCTGGTTTCTCGATGCTATCGGGTACGCCCTAGATCCCTGGAGAAAGTGGAGAATGGTGTGCCTGTCAATACTTTCCGTTGAGGATGTGGAAGACATCTACATTATCGGCCTTCTGATAACAGGTATGCTGCTGTTTGGTGTTAGCAGTTTCCTGTTCTATCGCAAAATTCAACCGATGGCAGCGGCTTTATTGGAAGTGAAGAAGTTGCCGGTCTTTCTGGATGGTCTAGCGCGAATGTCCAACACTCAGACTCAAGCGGTGACTGAGCTCAAACGCAATATGGATGCGGTTTTGGAGCGTCTTTGTAAGATGGAGATCAACTTGAAGAAGTTGGAATCTGCGCTTCAGAAAGAAATTGCGGATTTGGCTGATCGGCGCCAGTGAAGAGATACGGGCCACCGACTCAAGGCTGTCTGAAATTGTTGGCGGCCGTCACCAAAACAACGCTATCTGGACCCTTTCCCTTGGAAGGAAGTACGCATGGAAGCTAGTGCCCCCACCATCACCCACCTCCTTCTCGGCCATGGACTGATAAGCCAGGACTGTCTCCATGAGCAGACCTTGACGAAGCAGCTGCGGCCTGATACGCACACACAACCAAACAATCACACGTGCATACACACCCTTGAAATCACCGCCTTTATTGTTCCTGGTTTTTTTCCCCCCCGCGACGTGATCTGATCTGCGGAGCGCACAGGGACCGTGCAGCTGGTCGGACTGGCCGCGTCGCGTTCTCTTTTCTTTTCTCTTTTTTTATCCTGGACTCAAATTATCCTCAGAAGAGTATAGTTCGAGTGTGTTTTTTTTTTTTCCCCTCTCCCTCTCTTATGGTTTCCTTTCTGAACTCTGTAAATTTCCCCAGTGTGGGACAAATAAAGGATATCTTAATATTAATATTAAATCGTAATTGCAATTCTGAGTTGAAAAAAAACCCCACAATTATTATTATTATTTTTTTTTAATCGTTCAACCCTACAAAACAAGACCCATTTGACGGTCATACTGATAGTCAAGTGTCATCATGTGACGTAAAAGCTAATGGCATTGAGCCTGAATCAGCTGAACCGAACTCGCATTGATTACGAGATGGAACATTGATTCTCGGTAACACAGACTGCAAATACGAATTAATGAGCACAGTTGCAAGGATCACGTGACCTTTCTGCCCGTGCACCTGCTTTTATCCGGGGCTCGTATTGGATAGAATGTCATCATGCTCCACTTCCATCACTTGCATCTCTTTGCAGAGACTTTGCAGAGCTCAGCAAGGTGCACGGAGTGGACTTGTTTGTGTTGAATAAACAGCCACACTGGTACATGCCAATCACATTTCCCTCGATTCAGAACGTTTAGATCCAATACGCGACGTGTCAAATGTTGTGGCTGCCTGTACAAATGTATGACTGATCTGTGATGATTGTTCCAGTGAGAGAAGTCAAACTTTGCCTACATTACAGACGAGCTATGCAAAAATGATTTACCCTCACGTCAAATTGTATTGGGTCACCACCACTGTCAAAGTCATTGTGACGCCTTCGGCTATTTAACTGAGGGTAAAACGTATGCACATATTTTTAACTACAGTTTGAATCTGCCCGGTCTCATCAATAATTGTTCAATGAGACATTAGCAACAAATGATGCTGGTGAAATGGAGCTTGTATCATATATGACATATTTCTGTACCCGTTAAATGAAAGCTTCTGCTACCCTGCCATCTTGAACGGAATAAGCCATACAAAGTGGGTGGATGGATGGAAAATTCATGAAATCATCTTTGACATTTTAAGAAGCGTAAATATTTACGCATCGTTTGTTGTATTGTGAGGCGATCTGTACTTTAAACCAGTTTTGAATTAGGTAAAGCCTGCAGATGTATTGCTTCTAAAGGAAGGGGGCATAGCATAAGTATTTCAGGGGTTTAAATCCCCAAACTTTGATTTACTTAAATATATTTCTGGCAGACAAATCAGCAGATATGTTTTGACAACCTAATAAAATGATGGCATTAATTAAAGAAAACAAAGTGGAACCTTGAAACTTGAAGCCCTCCAAGTGGACCCACAGACAGAGTTCCTCACTGCCGCACTCGCAGCTCCACGGGTTGCCACTGAGGCCCACCGAGCGCAGGGCAGGTAGTGAAATCAACGTGCTGATGTTAAGCACAGTTAAGTTGTTCCTGCTCACGTCGAGCACCTGAAGGGCCAGGTTTTCTGCAAAGGCGTCCTGGTGGATCTCCGACAGAAACGGGTTGTCTGTCATCCTCAGCATGACCAAACTGTCCAGGGGGACGAAGGTCCTGTCCTCGATCCGGGCGAGGCTGTTGAAGGAGAGGTCAAGGTAGGCCAACTTCCTGAGATTCCCAAATGTGGACTGGGAGATCTCAGTCAAGGAATTGTTGCTGCAGTCCAAGTAGACCAGATCTGAGAGGTAGTTGAGCGCGAGCGGCGGCAACTCCGCGATCAAGTTGTTGGAGATGATGAGCTGCCGGGTGGCCAGCGGCAGGTCCGCGGGGAAGCTGCTCAAGTGCTGCCCGGCGCATTGAACCACCAGCTGCTCGTCGCACACGCACCGGTCCGGGCAGCCCGACGACAGCAGCGGGGACGTAATCGCCTCCGTGCAAAGCAGGAGCGCAACGACGATCACCAGCGCGCTCGGCTGCGGGGCAAGACGCATGACACCGCCGAGGGCTTCATCCAGCCCGCTCGGAGCGATCCGCGCACGCTTACATTCTTCATGGACCTTCGGCGGACGATCGTTAATAGCGCGAGGATTGTTTCCACAGAGGTCAGCGGAGACGGTTGCCCTTGGCGCCTCTCTTGCGCGTAATGTTTCAGCTCATCCTGTCAGCTGGTCCTGATCCCGATCCAGCGTGCATCCGATGACCTCACGCTGGTTGGCATACCTCGTGGATATATGACGGTACAGGGTTTCCTTCACGCTCCCACTGAGCGCGCTCGCGACGTGCGTTTGTGCTACCCCGCCGCTCGTGGTGTTGCGCGGTCAATCGTCGTGTTTGGCTGTGGCATTCTCTCGCCTTCCCAAAGCCAACTCCGGCGAGGAGGGGTGGGGAGGGGGGGGCTCCGCGCTGAGAGGGTTGAAGCACCGGGCAGCGGCTGCGTCTGCAACCAAAATATTCCGTGTAATCCAGTGCGTTTGCGTGTGTTTGCTTGCATGACCTATTTGCTCCAGCAACTCGCGGTGGCTTCTCCACGTGCCTCCCGCGCGCGCATGTGTGCGCCAGATGCTCACGTTGATTGATCACGAAACACGCAGGATTGTTGTGCATAATGTGTTTGTGTGCTGTTGCCTGCAGGTGTGTGACGAAGTGTGCGGCAGCATCACATCACATACCTCAAAAACAAGAGGGTCACGCGTGCTTGGAGCCACAATTGCTGGTGATATTAAAAAAAAAAAAAAAAAAGAATAGGCTGTCACCGCCTAGTGCAGTGATTCCCACTCGCTGTCATGCATAAAAATTTCCAATTTCATTTAATTGGTATTGAAAGTATCTATTTACTATTATGTATCTCTGTTCATCTATCTATACACAGAGGTGGATAATTTACCCCTTTCAAGGACAGCGGTCACAGTGGACAGCTTATCATGTTATCAGGTTACAGCAGGGGTCGGCAACCCAAAATGTTGAAAGAGCCATATAGGACAAAAAAAAAAACAAAAAAACAAATATGTCTGGAGCCGCAAAAAAATAAAAGCCTCCTATAAAACTTACAATGAAGGAAACACATGCTGCATGTATGTAGGAGACTGGACTGTCTCAGAATTGTTTGTTATTCATTCCTTTGTTGTGTGTTCACAAACGCCCCCATAGAATTTATTTAGTGATTTCCTCGCTTGATTTTTTGTTTTGGTGCATTATTTTCGCTTTTCTTAGTGTCAGTGAAGTGATCATGAATTTCCGTTTTTCGGAGGCTGTCTTTGAACGCCTCTCGAGTCGAATGACAAGAGAGAAGGCACGGAGTCAGACGCAGACGTGTCTGTGTTTGTCGAGACTGTTAAAAGCATAAAGTGTACGTTTTAAAAAAACAACACCACAGCTCTCCTTTTTCAGAGCTGCAATGTGTATCGATATCTATTTGAGCTATATTAGCCTACTATCAAAATCTTTTTCCATTTTCAAACATTTTTTTTATAAAGCTTCAGGGAGCCACTAGATGTCACTAAAGAGCTGCATGCGGCTCTGGAGCCGCGTGTTGCCGACCCCCGGGTTACAGAGTGCGTGAAAGGGTTAAATGATAAATGAGACCACCATTTTTCACCAGCTCTAGCGGGAGACCAGGGATGGCGTTACACCGCGTCTTGGGTCCATCGGTAATCGGTGTAGCCCCAGTTAAGTCTCAATAGCATTTCATTTGATATTCCAAAATATACAGATCAATTATTTAATCAGCCCTCTATGTATGGTTCAGGGCCCCCTTGAAGCGAAAAAAAAAACCTGGAGCCGTCACTCGGGGAGATCAAATAGAGACAAGAAAATGATAAGAGCGAAAAGCTACCCACCCAATTTTGTTAATTTTTTTTTAAGTTATCAAAATAAATAAGGCAGTGGGCTACAATTTCCAATCACTGATTTACAGCAACAGTAACATCTAAATGAAAGGCATAACCATTAAACGGTCTTCAACTAGATGGGAGAATGTAGGGAATAGAATCTTATCGAGACAGAATCTTATTTAGAATACTTGACAAGATTTTTATTTATTTATTCATTGATAGTTGGTAGGCTTGCGAACAATACTATTCTCTGTGTTGTATCAAATTTTATTTTACAAAGACAACAAGCCTACTGTGGTGAAGTTATGACCTATGGCGATGTTCACATCTTTCCATCCAAAGAGAGAAATATTCCAGGGAGGTGAAAATACACACACACGAAGACACACACTTTGAATTAAACTCATAGAATACAAAGCAACTCCCAGAGAGACATCTCTGTCCATAACAGAGCACCCATGGGGTACCGAAAATAGAAAATGCTAAATATTGACAACAAAATAATCTTTCCTGACATTTGGCTCCTGGCTGCACCTTGCACCAATCCAAAGTGAGCATATGCGGCTTGCGAGCAGATGATGGGAGATGTAATGGGACAGGGTGGTCTCACATGTTCTCCTCACCCAGTCTGAATCTATTCTTGGTTCCATGTGTAGGTGTTGAAGCGCTGAATCAGAGTCAGCACGGTGGAGGGGGGGGGGCTATGATGGGGGCAAATGGGCGACAGATATGCTGCTGAAAGACCCCCTGTGCACTTTGTACGATGAGCGTGCTTCACTGACGCATGCACTGGCAGAAGTGAAGGAGGACAGACCAGGTTGGTTTTATGAGCATGTGACACCCAACGATCTGCCGTAAACGCAGATGTTTGGCGTCGACTGTTGGGTGATGTTATGACGACATCTAGTGATGAATGCTTGCTAGCAGCATCATGGAACACTCGCTGCAGAGCCAACACAGGACTGTAGAACTTCGGATACAGCGGGCGGTACATTATTTCACGCAACTCATGCGTTACAGTGTTGGGAGCTCTCGATTCCAATTCTCCGTGGAATTTGAACACATCACCACGTTCTTTCCACGCTGTAAAAAATGAGGTGTTTGGTCAATGTGAAAGCTAGAAGGAAAAATGACCAACAAGTGTTTCTGTCTTATGCGTTCTTTAATACGTTTTGTAATATGTACTCCACAAGCTGAATAGAAATTTAGTGCACTTAAAATATCCGTCTGTAAAGCTATATATCTGTCTTTTGTTTTTTTTTTTTAGCCAACACATAATTTTTCACAGTGGAAGGTGGGTTTGCGACCAGGACGAGGTCCGAAGTAAAAAGTGGCTGCGCAGAGCCTGTGTGAATTTTCAGGGGAAAAAAAAGAATCATCCCAGCCTTTTCTTATTAGTTAAATACAGTAGTTACAATATTTATATTACATGTACGCACGTTTGCAGCCACGCCCATAGTTGGCGCGTGTTACGTAAACCCCAACGCGGAAGTCCGACCAACTTTGTTGTCATTGTTCTGTTCAATCGACTGTAACCGGTGCACGTTTTACCCTGCTTCGTTTGTCAGGTAAATGCTTTTGTCTGTGATTTGTGATAGGAGAAAAGTACAAGGATACTAGTTTGCATTGTCTGTTGTGTGTGGACGCCGTCCACTGGACGGTGTCACGACGCTGTCCTCGTTTGACCTTTTATAAGGGCGTGATTGCGCGTTCGTGTTGCTTTTGGGGGAAATACAGGGGCGATCATTTCAATTTCACGCCAAATCATTTAATCCAGTGCGAGGAGACGAATTAGCCAAAATCATTGTATACCGCGTTCACAAATCGTTCCTTGAATTTGCGGACGTAATAGTGTACTTCGTGTTTTTCGTATTTTGACTATACTTACCTCCTGCCATCGTTTTCTCACAAATATTTTCAGAATTTGTGACTTTCCTGCTGCTTTAGTGTTAGTTAACGATCGACTACTTACACAAATTTAGAGTTACAGGCTATGTCCGCCGTAAACCGTGGAGGACTCCCTGTGCCCTCTAAGACTTGGGATTTGTATTGATGAGTCATTTTAGTGAACATTGCATCATGCATAAAGAAAAACACTTGTATGTCCTTCACAATCACAAAATTCACCTAACTACTGTATAATGACGTTTTACAATGTACAGTGTGATACCACCCATTTGCACTTGACTGTATCAAACTGCCCCTCTCCCCTCACAGGTGTCAAAATGGTTGTTCTGTCCAAGGAGTACGGCTACGTAGTGTTGACTGGTGTTGCCAGTGTGATCATGGTGGGGCACTTGGCATTTCAAGTAGGCAAAGCTCGCAAGAAGTACAACGTGCCGGTGAGCTGAGAGGTTGACGTCTTACGGCAGAAAACCGTTTGATCTTTAGACTAGCTGCAGCATGCCTGGAAAATGCCTGCACATTCTGACAACAACGCAAACACAATAGTGTGTTTGTCTCGTTTAACAGTACCCCAAGATGTACAGTGATGACAGTGAGGAGGGCACCATTTTCAACTGTGTGCAGCGTGCACACCAAAACACGTGAGTAAGGAATATGCATTGGACAAAAATGACGAGATATGCTTTTCCGCCTTGCAGGAAGTGAATATATGGGGATGCATTTATATTTTATAAATAGCATCAAATCAGATCAAATTCAAATGTGACATTAAGCCTAAAAGATGCACCCCTGTTGACTCACTTTGGGGATGCAAGTAACAGAAATTTAGATTGTTAGATTGTCCTCTTCTCTGTTTTCGTCAAAACCTCGACCAGTCTGGAGCTCTACCCTGCCTTCCTTTTCTGTCTGGTTGTTGGTGGCTTGCAGTGTCCTGTAAGTTGATCTACATCACTTCACAAGTAACATCCTTTGCTCCAAATACATATCAAACATGTCAGACAAAACGTAAACATGTGCGTCTCCTTTCAGCGTCTCAGCAGTGGACTAGGTGCTGTGTGGATCATCAGCCGGGAGGTTTACGCGCAGGGCTATTCAACAGGAGGTGAGATGGTGTTGAACCCCTTGTGATATATATTTTTTTCAATTCAGTTCCATTCAGGTAATTTGTTTAAAAAAAAAAAATCTCAATCAGATCCTAGAAAAAGAATGCGCGGAGCTTTTGGGAATGTGGCTCTCCTTGGGATGATCCTGACTACCGCCAGCTTTGGACACCACTTGCTGGGCTGGTCGCGACCCCATTTGGGGTCTTGGTGCGATATGAAAAAATGCTGTTGAAAGGCCTGCAGGATGGGAGTAGCCATACAAACACATCAGCAACTTCACCTTTGCCATATTTCTTGCAGTGCCTGTTTTATACTCATAAATACTGAAGTCACGATATGTGACCTGACTGGTTCTCCATGTCAGGAGTGGCCTAACATGGCACTCCCAAACCATAATTGTGTTTTTTTTCTAAATAAATGCAGCACTTGGCTTCATTTGTTGTCATGACTGTTTTTTTTTTTTTTTTCTCGATTGCAAGTGCCTTGTTGTTTTGACATTGATGCATTAGATTTGTGTTGCGAGGGGGGTGGGCAGTTTTTATTGGTCAAAGTCTACATTCCATACCCCAGCTGGTGTGTTTATTACTCCAAACCAACAGGTCACAGACAAGAGAACCGCTCCTTCTTTTGACAGAAGACAATGACAATATTATTTTAAACAGCACGCTTGTGATGAATCATCAAGGGTGCCGTGGGTCATTAGAAAGCCAGCTTCATTTACTCTATCCAGCACATTTAAGCCACAAGGCAACTCAATGTGTTTCACACAACACCCGGAAGCATTAACAAGAGTCGGTGTTAAGCCTTGAGGACTGCCATACGTTCTGATCTCTTTGTCGTGGTCCAAACCTGACCTGCAGCATTTTGAATTCTGTATCATGTTTGACTGAATTTCTTTGGAAATTATTGTTTTTGTCTATTCCAGCGACGTCTAGTGACAGGCAGAACGATTTCGATGCCAGAGGGTACAATAAACGCGTGTGTCCACTGAAGTCATGGTCAGCCACACGTCACTGCGAGTAAATCAATCACATTTGCGAGTAAATTAAAACAAGATAATTATTTCAGGAACTATGTTTATTGATCTGCAGTCGAGAGAGTTTTCAAATGTAAATGGAGGCCTTGGCTCAATAAATGTTGGGAAACAGATTTTAAAAAAAGTGTACTTTTCTCGTGATCAAACCAACAGAGGGCAGCACAGTAACGTAGTTGTGTTGCATGACGTTTTTTTTTTAACACTTAGTAGTACGTTCGAATGTATATTTTTAAATGTATTTGCAAATACTGTCTGACTTTCCGGTCCAAAAAGTTTACTCCACGTTAACACAAATTTGGCCGATCTACGCGTAATTTTTTAGCTGAGTGAGATTGCCAGCACGAACTGACTCGCCACAACGTACGATGACTACCACCTCTTGCCTGCCAGGGATGGCTCGCTAAGGAAAACCAAGATGAATTCAAAAAGAAATGTTGACTTCATCTCATCCCCGAGCAGAAAGCAATTCGAAGTACACCGGGGACCGCAATCTCTTTGGTGCTTCGGTCCCGTTGATCGAAACTTGTTACTTGATACGTGACGGGACACCATCAGGGCTAAAAATACCCTGAAGCGGCGCATGGGTGGTGGGATCTTGTGCAGGCACACACACGAGGGCACAACAATAACAAAAAGGCAGCCACTGTTTTAGTCACACTTGCAGGTGGAAGTCAGGTTCATACTTGACTTCCACGTTCACCTGTCACCACCGCAGCAATTTGCAAGCTGACGTCCTGACTGCAGACTCCTGCATTTGCATCCACGCACAGCCAATCAGAAGACGGTGCGTCAGAGACGCGCCTGTTTTATGTCTCGCGACTTGCGCTCAACACGGATAACCGCAGTTTCTTTATTCTGGCGCTTATTTTAACTCTCTGAGGGTGGCTGTTGTGCTCGAAAATACTCCCGTCATTGAATGATGGAAGCAATCCGGTTTCATCGCTTCCTGTGAGGCGGACTTCAAGTCCGCCAAGGGGTCAGTGTTGTCACGTGACAGTGTGGGCAGCTGACAGACACTCTTCGGTGTCCTCTGGCTGTTTGCTTTCACACACTTTATTGGGCCGCGTGTGTGCTCTTGAACTGTTTGTTAGCACTCTTACCAAAGGCGAGTCCTCATGGATATGCAGGGGCCCCATGGGGAGACCTTCGAATTGCACCAGTCAGAGGGCGCAACGAACGCTGTCGACTTGCAGGAGTTGACAGTGGAGAATGTGGAGGCGGTGAGTTGCATTTATTTATTTGTTTAAAAATCCGAGGATTGCACAGTACTTACATTTAAAAAAATGCTTCGATTTGATTAGAATGTATTGCACATACAAATTGTACCAAAATAAATGTTGGAAAACAAACTTTGCCAAAGGATTAAACACAAATGTGTTGTATTTAAAAGTTACAGATTACTGAATTGTACTTAATTTGAATGTACTGTATTGGATTAAAAAAAAAAAGTTGGAAGGAACCTTCGTACAGTTTGAAAATTTAATTCAGTTATTCTTTTGGGTGCCACTAGAGGGAGCCTGGGTACCACTATTTCGGTCCCATAAAGCAACCTGATTGGATAATTCGTTAGCGCTATGAATTTCAACTAACGACTTATACAACTTTATCTACCCGAGTCTTTGTACTGGTCTTTCAAAAATAGTTTGGTCATGGCAAAACTGTAAATAGAAGAGGACCAGAGGACCTTCGCATTGACATCGAGGAAAATTGCATTCATGCATGATGTAAAAAGGTCGTTTAAGTACATATTGATGCCACCTACAGTTTAATCCTTTCTTTCTCTTTTTTTGTGCTGGTTGTAGAAAATAATAATTTTTTAAAAAATCAATGGAGATTAAAAGACTTTAATTCAGGACTGTATACAAACATTTCATTATCAAACAAAAGCAGTTTAACATGACAGTGTGGTGAGATAAAGACCAGCAGACATTTTTGTAATTTGATACCAACTACAAGCATTTGCTGCCCTAATAATAGCAACCACTGCATGCTTCGGATTAGTAACTATGGCAACGTTTTTTTGGCGATCTTGAATCAAGCGCTCCTTCAGGATGAATATTCATGCAATTCGATTCAAGTGTACCTGTGACCGACTCCCACTTGTCTTCCAGGCTCTCTCCCAGCTGTATTTTGAGCCAGACATGGAGCGTAAGAATGCCGCCCAGAAGTGGCTGACGCAGGCTCAAGCGTCTGCCCAGGCGTGGCATTTCTGCTGGACCCTGCTAAGCCCTGACAAGGTCTGCTGATCAACTTCAAATTTGAGATAAGCTTGTTGCACACTCACAAGGCAAGACAGGGCACCTTTATTGACAGCCCCCGCCCAAAATATTGGGATGAAACTTCATTTGTTTTTGTTTTCACATACTGTATACTGAAGACATTTGGGTGTCAGATCAATAGATGAAGATGCTACAAAAGTTCAGAAGTCCAGCTTTGATTTGATGGTATTTACATCTAAAAAATAATAATAATAAAAAATCGGGAGAGAGCACCTATTGTTTAGAGACACCCACTTTTCAAATGAGTACTGGAACACGTGACGGATGGATGGCTAATTTCAGTTCTGTTGGCATCTAATTCCATTTGCTTGCCGCATAACAGCTCAATGCTGATGCACTATGTTTGCTTTCAACTTTGGCTTCCGCTAATTGACCCGAGGCGACTGACCTCAGAACCCTTCTGGATTTATATCCCATGAGCATTTCAGAAGATATTTTCGTGTGGTTCCACAGCTCCCAGAAGTCCAGTTCTTTGGTGCCAGCACCCTCCACACCAAAATCTCCTCTCACTGGAGCGAACTGCCCGCAGACCAACATGAGCACCTGAGAGCGCAGCTCCTTTCTCACATTTTGCACTTCTCCTCCGGACCGAAAATGGTGTTAACAAGGCTATGTGTTGCACTGGCCGCGATGGCCCTTAACTTAATTCCCCATGTCTGGTCACACCCGGTTGCTGACATGGTGCAAGCCTTCCAACCTCAGAGCCCTGAAGATGCCAAGGCGACGCAGGACCCTCAGCTGCACTGTCTCGCACTGCTGGAGCTCCTGGTTGTACTTCCGGAGGAGTTCCAGAGCAGCCGGCTGGCGCAGAGCCGACGCGGACAGCTGAGGGAAGCTCTGGCTGGGGAGTGGAGAGCCATATGTCCTCTACTGCGTCAGCTCCTCCAAAGCCAGGATTCGTCGAGTCAGGTGAAGGAGAAGGTGCTCCGCTGCTTGTCCAGCTGGTTGGGACTGGATGTGCAACTAGGGGAGACTCAGGAACTGGTGCAGGATTGTTTCACGGCTTTATCCAACCCTGTGCTGTTTGACCCAGCCGTCGAGACGATTGTCAGCGCCATCTCGCAACCTGACTGCCAGAGGTAAACGCTGCAGTACATAGACCAATACAGTGATCCCTCGCTATTTTGCGGTTCGTTTATCGCGGCTTCAGTGCATCGCAGATTTTTTCAAACATATTCATAAAAAAAATAAATAAATAAATAAATAAATAAATTAAAAATTAAGTCCGCAAAAAGTCCGCAAATGATCCACGAGAAGCAGCGAAAGTCAGCAAAACAACAGTAAGTCACAGAGAGCAACATATACAGTACTACATGTATATGTTTACTGTATTTTGTTATTCATACACTAACCTAACCTAACTTATACATGTTTAAATCTCTTAGTATACAGCATTAAGTAATGCTAATTACTACAACATTTACTTCTACGTGCATGTACACCATTAAATTTGGCCTTATAAATATTTTTTATACTCATACACATGTACATGTACCTATACGGGGGGGGGGGGTCGCTACTTTGCGGATTTTCGTTTAGCGCGGGTGGTTTTGGTCCCCGTTAACCGTGATAAACGAGGGATTATTGTATACAGTCACTGTGATTTGACACGTGGTTTGTCACACAGTTGTGATGGAGCCCAATGTGTGTACGTGTGTGTGTGTGTGTGTGTGTGTGTGTGTGTGTGTGTGTGTGTGTGTGTGTGTGTGTGTGTGTGTGTGTGTGTTGTTTGTGCATCACTTTGAAAAAGTAACTTAGTTACTTTACTGATTACTTGACTTTAAAAGAAAATTTATGACTTTACTGCTCATGTAAAAAAGTGACTAATTATGATTACAAGTTTTGGTATGAATTACATTTAGCCCTTTCAGGGACAACGGTTACGACAGTGGGCAGCTTATCATGTTATCGGGTTACAGGGTGCATGAAAGGGTTCACATGCTGACGAACGACCCTTCTTCCCATAAAGTTGACATTCGGTTCTGCCAATACTTATTGAAAGTGCATTTTTAACAGAGGTGTTTAAGAATACTGTAGTTTCTTTTGAGTTAAACATAATTATTGATTCCTATACGATCAACGTGTGTGTTTGTTTATCCAGGTACGTCAGTGCTCTGATG